TTACTGTCCAAGGAAGCAAAGGGGTTGTTGCCCAGCTGTGCCTCCACAGCATCCAAGATGGGCTCCTCAATTTCCCTGTACAGCTGCTCCAGAGCTCTGTACCCACCGGGGATGCTTTCGAGGTTGTTCATGGCCACATCGTGGTTCCTTATCATCTCCTGCATTATGGCAGGACTGCTGGAGGCCTCTAATACTTCTCTGATAGTATGTGGGTTGGTGAGAATCTGACCGATCTCAGGATTTTCCTCAGCCAGCTGCTGCATCTGGGGGTTGGACATGATGAGATCCCTGACAAGATCGGCATTGTCAAGGACGTTCTGCGCAAAGGTGCTCTGCACCATCTCGCTTATCAAGCTGTGCATGGACATATCTTGTTCTTGAATGCTACTCACCAAGTTCAACATGTCTGTTGAGTCCAGGCCTAGGAGATGTACACCTGTCACCCCAAGGAGGAACCCTAGCAAAAATGCATTGTTGTTGATGGTGTTCAAATTCAGGCCTGAACTGAGGATCCTAGACAAGAGGTTCTCCATGGTCTGGGCCACTATTTCCTGGCTGGAGGTCAACAGCTCAGACAAGTTATGATGGATCAAGCATGGGTTTTGCAGATCAGCTATGCTTCCCAAGTAGAATAAGTTGGAATTACTGTGGTTGGGAGGTCGCCTCAGGGTGGTCGCTCCTCCTTGATCTGCCAGGCCGTCCTGTGGTCTCTTTTGGGACCTGATGACCACATGAATGCTGACCCCACTGTGAACTCCATGTTGGCTCAAAGTGTCTTGATCCTTGAGGACTTTCCCAGCAAATATCAGGACCAGCAGGTCAGGGGGCGCTTTGAAACGCTTGGCAACTTCTTCCTTAAACTCCTGGATGGTGCTGCTCTCAGCAACCTCAAACCGCTCCTTCTGCTTGAGGGTCTTCACAGTCACTTTGATGATATTCGAGGAATCCATGGTGACAACAGGTTGACTAGTCTCCGCTGCCCCTTTGCTTTCGGACATGGTGGCTCTGAGACCAGGACTGTGCTTTGGTCTGTTGAAAAGCAGAGGTGCTGGCAGAAGGTGGGAAGCAACAGGGGGCAATGGCTGCCAGCTGAAACAGGGGGGTGGCTGTTGCCCCTTCTATGGTGACAGCTGCTGAGAGGGTGCAGTGACACAGGGACAAGGACCCTGCAGTGCAGACCGAATGCACATACCAGCCAGATGTTGCACAGCTGCTCTGCTCACTCACCACCCAAGCAGTCCCCCCATGTTCCTTGTCCCGCTGTGGCCTCCTGCCCAGATAGAATTGCCATGCAGCCGTCCCTGTGCTATGACATCATAGCTGATACCAGAGTGAGCAGCAATGACCTGGAGAGGGGGCACCTCCTGAGCTTGGGCTTCCTCGCCTCCACAGTCCTCAGCCAGCCTAGTCCCTGGGGCACGGGGAGGACCACAACATGGGGAAATCCAGGCTCAGGGGACTCCAGGACCATTTCCATTTGAGACGACCACCGCACCTTGCCGCTTGCAGGCTGGCATCGCCAACCTCATTGCAAAGCTCCCAGGTACCCACCCTCTCCGCTACGGACCTTGCTCTCCTGTTTAGTGAACAGCCCCCTCCTGCCAGGTTTGCTGCAGGGATGCAAAGCACCCTGAAACTTCTCGTCCCATGCCCGTCAGCCTTTGGGTCCTGTTGTGGTTTTGCTGCCAGCCCTGTGCACCCACACCTAGGGTCAGCCCTCTCCTCTTGCAGGCTCCTAGCAGTGCAGTCTCCACGCTTGCCACCTTCCTGACACCCCTGACCTCAGCTGTCTGAGACGGAAATATCCCCCTTCTTCAGCCCGAGCCCAGGAGCACCCTCACCTTTTCAACCAGGAAACACCACTACCACAGAGTGCACTGGGAGCTTATCTTCGTTTTATCCCCAAGATTGCCCCGATGCAGATGTTTCCAGGTAAGGGTTACGCAGGCTGTGCAATTTCAATACATTTTGCACCATCCTTGTTGTGCACACTTAATTCCATGTTCACAAAGCAAACACACTCCAGGGCCATTAGCAGAACAAATCTCTCCTTCACCCAGCTAAGAAAGCTGATGTTTGTTTCAAAACAAAGCCAAAAGGAGGTAAATTTGTCTTAGCATCCCATGTTTTTTTTTCTTATTTGTGTGATGCTTGGAAAAAAGTTTTCATAGTCCCCAGGTTGGTGCTCAATTTCTTCATCTGCAAAATTCAAAGACTAACTTTCATGGAGCCAATACAAAAATCCAGGTGCATACCAGAACAACAGCTTCATTTGTTTAGTCTTTTTCATAGCTTTCAGGTTATTTGATGTCGATATTAATTTTCTAAATTACAAAAGTTTTCTTTTAATCAAAAATCTTCTGATCCATTTGCAGAGTGCTTATTTCATACCTGCTAATCATGCCACATGGTAACTCCCTGAAGGACATGGTATGGTTTCTGTTTCCAGACAGCATGCCAAGAGAAGAGCACTTCCAAAGCCCCAGCACTCTTGTTTGCAATAACAAAGAGCTCCTCTGCAATTATTTGTTTGGACAAAATACACTGGCGTACACATCCATGCCGGTGCACTGATGCCAGATTGCTCTCCCCCCACAAGATTTGTCTCTCCATCACTTCCACCAGCAACCCCTCTCCCTGCTGGGTGCAGCAGCGGTAGCACAGGGCACCCGTCCCTCTGCTTGGTGACCCCACAGCCCTCTCATCACCGCTGGCTGCAGCTCTGGTTCCAGTTCACTGATAAGTGATGGAAAAATAGTGCTAAATATAGCGACGGTGGTTTTGATCACTATTTTCACTGTTCATTGGGTCTCAGAGCATGGACACGAGAGACAGGAATGGTCCTCCTGCTCCGTTGTGGACATCAGTGGGATCTGGGGAAAACTGACACGCTGGAGTCAACACTGCCGTGAGATCTCACAGGCATACTGCAAAAAGCAGAGATCCTTTATCATGTTTGCTGCACCCAAATGCAAAGGCATGGGGGACCTGCAGAGGGGACTCAGCTCTGAGCAGTACTTGCTGTTCAGGTTGCTGCACTACCTGGAGCAACCTTGTTACCTAACAGTTGGGAAATGCCTTCTGATTTGCAGCCCAGATTTATTTCTGATGCCTGTATTAATGCGTGCCTAGGTAGTGCCTCTCCTCTAACGAGTCAGGAGATAAATCAGGGATGAAAATCAGAAGGATGGAATTTCCCAACCACTCTAACACTTCCTTCCCCGTTAAGGAGGGTCATTAACCTGACTAGCTCCAGTTCTTCCTGGAATTTGATTTCTGGAGCTTGTGAGGATTGAAGACTGTCCCAAGAACCGCATGCAGCATTTACAGCATGTTTAGCTGCCTTTGTCCCTCCTCAGACACTGTTCATACTGTGGGGGCAATTTGCTAGACCCAGAGCTGGTGCCTGCAACATTTGCAGAGTTTCTGGTATCACCCAGAGCCTAGAGAGCATCAACCATGGCATTGACTGGTGCTTCCACCACAAGGAGCTGCAAACCCTGCTCAATCTGTGACCAAGCCTGCAAGGCCTTTGGGTTAGAGACCACTCCCACCACTTCTGAGTTGTGGGTTTGTTGGAAAAAATTTGGCATCCTCTGTGTGATTTCTTGCTGCTGCGTGTCCTCGGTGGAGAGTGCAGCCGGTGCTGCCTGCTGGGACCTCTGCAGCAACAACAGCGTCATCCACTTTGTGGGGATGTGCACAACTTCACCATCAGCTGGAGGGATGCAGTGACCTGATGGAGCAAACTGTGGACACCTCCTGCCTCAGCCGTCCCAGCTCCCACCCCAGAGTCCTGGCTGAGTAATGGGGAGCTCTGTCCCAGCAGGTGAGCGGTGCTGCTGGTAACACCACAGTCAGTCAGCAGAGCTGCTGTTGGTACAAACGCTGCTGGCACTCAGGGAAGGAGAAGGACACGATGGTCCCTGGTATCGCTACAGGACAGCTGGCATCTCCTGCCTATCTTTTTCAGGGAGCAATTTCTCACTGAGGAAGCAAAGGAGTTGTTTCCAAATGGCTCATGTGCTGTAGTAGGCGATGCCTCCTGGCATCCACTGCACACACACGTCAATGGATTGTCACCTCCTGGGGTATTTTCAAGATTCCTCACTGCACAAAGTTGACACTGATATCTGCTGGAAGGACAAGCTAGCGGGGGTCATTGACAGAGCTTTAAACTAGACTTGAGGGGGGAAGGGATAATATCAGGCTTGCCTGTGACAAGCTGTGGGATGACACGCCAAGGTTAGAGGGATGGGGTGCTAGCAAGGGCCCTCAGCCTGTTGCTCAGAGACGTGCTGGGTACACTGGAGCACACTTGAAGTCTTACGGAGATGAACCAGGGCTCCTGAGGTAATAGGAGCCAACAGGGAAACACCAGTGAAATACCTCCAAGGAACTAAGGGGTGTTCCTCTAAGAAGGTGACACGGCTGACAGGCCAGCTGAAGTGCCTCTACACCAATGCATACAGCATAGGCAACAGGAGGAGCTGGAAGCCACCATGCTGCTAGAAAGCTACGACCTAGTTGCCATTACTGAAACTTGGTGGGATGAATCCCATGACTGGAGTGTGGCTATTGATGGCTACAGGCTGTTCAGAAGGAACAGGCGAGGAAGGAGGGGCAGAGGCATTGCCCTCTACATCAAGAAATGGATAAAGTGTGAAGAGCTGTCCCTGAAGAATAGCCATGAGCAGGTTGAAAGCTTATGGATAAGAATTAGAGACCGAGGAAACAAAGGGAACCTTGTGGTTGGTGTCTACTACAGGCCACCTGGTCACGGGGAGCCTATTGACGAAGCCTTCTTACTCCAGCTACAGGAGGTATCGTGCTCACAGGCTCTCATCCTGCTGGGGGACTTCAGCCACCCCTGGAAAGTAGCACAGTGAGCTGTAGGCAATCCAGGAGACTTCTGGAATGCATTAAGGGATAACTTCTTAAGCCAGGTAATAGACAGCCCTACCAGAGGGGATGCAATACTGGTCACCAACACAAGTCAGCTAATTGGTGACATCAAGATTGGAGGCAGCCTGGGCTGCAGTGATCATGCACTGGTGGAGTTCGCAGTCCTAAGGGGTATAGGTCAGGCAAAGAGTAAAGTCAGGACCCTGAATTTTAGGAAAGCAAACTTCCAGCTCTTCAGGGAGTTAGTCAATAGGACCCCCCGGGAAACTGCCCTCAGGGACAAAGGAGCAGAACAGAGCTGGCAGATCTTTAAGGA